AGTGTGTGGAACACAGACTCTTAAGAAATGCCTGTTGGATGTTGCAGTCTGCATCTTCTTGAAATAAACAGAACTGTTGATGGCTGTTTAACAGTAAAATGTGTCTAAAAAGCGTATTTGGAAATGAAGATGTAAGAGATTAATGCACCAAAGCAATCTCTTAGTTTCTTAAAATTATTTTAAAGACTTTCTTTGATTGAATTTCTGTGAAGGCTGGAATTTCTAAATTATGCCATTTGTTCAAACCAACTCTGAGAAGAACAATTAAGGCATTAAGATAGCATTAAAATGTTGGATAAAAAGTGGGCATTTTCTGTGTATTAAGATGATATGTTAGTTGCTGAGGTTTCTGTAGATAGGACTTAAAAGCTTCCTGCATCCCTAATGCAAAATTGTCTTGAACTTGCAGTAAAATTTTGTCTTTTTTCATTGCAGTGAGAAAGGCTGTGTAGCTATGCCTCAGAGCCAGTTTACTTACCCTAGTACTTATCTAAGGGTGATATTTGAGTTTAATTTTCTCACTAATTTTCTGATTTATAAATAGTAGTTTCTTGGAAATTTGGAGAATTTTCTAAAAGTAAGAAATTCAGTATCTTGTTCTATGTAGAGATAACTTGCAGTTAAATGTTTGGTGCATTTTCTTCTAGTCTTTTTTTCAATGTATAAATATTAAAATTATTTCATAGTTGAGATCATATTGCATATATGGTACTGTATCCTGCTTTTTTCGTTTTAACGTCGTGAGCAATTTTCCCATGGCATTAAAAACTGTCTTTGAAAAATGGAAAGCATTTTGGGCTGTCAGCATAACTGAAAATGTTTTCTTGGTGTGAAACATGTATCTTTGTAATTGGTTTGATTTAGTGTTCTTTACTTCAATAAAAATTCAGTATTACAATTTACAGATTGGGGTGGGGAGTGGTATCTACTTCAATACCAAGATCTTCCTAGTAGAATTCCTTTTTAAATGTTTGAACTCCCTGGTACATCTGAAACATGACATTGACACAACAAGTGCTTACTTGACCTGGCACCTCAGAACACAACTTTGTGCAAAGGGAGTGCCGTGCCTCTGAATAGTGCCACTCATTTCAGATGCAAGAATGCCATTGTGTCAGGGCTCCCAGTCAGGATGTCACCCACTCGGTTCACATTGTCAGGATTTCAAATCCCTCCTTTCTATGGGAGCAGATCTGCAGAGGGCCCTGAACCCTGTGCTGGTGGATCCACAATGCGCCTTCTTGCCTCCAGGGCTAGCTAGCTCTCCTCTCCAGGGGTTTAGGAGGCTGGGAAGCAGTAGAGTGTAGGTGAAGATCCTGGCTGCTGGCCTAAGGCAGTGAGATGAACCGGATTGGCGTTTATTCTTTCTCTGCCTGTGTGTGACCTAACTATGTGCCTGGAAACTGAACTACATGTAACTAATGCTGCAAACAGGAATTTCTTATCCTAAGCATGAACTTGGTATGACAATAATAGCTGTGTGCTACTTTTAATAATTTACCATGTAACTTGGATTCCTATAACCTGGACTGTAAATTTGTTTTAGCTCCAGTGGGAGTTTTCAAAGTATGATTAAGTCATCCTAATCTATTTTTTTCCACTCCTACACTAATTTTAAATGGATACAGAAACTTTACAACTGATTAGTTTATCTTGTATTAAGCAGTTGAGACTTCTCTGTCTAATCATGCTACTTGTTCTGCTTTTGTCAATTGATAATCCCCTGGCCTTTTTGAAAAAGTGTGTTTTTAGTAGAAGTTAAGTCGTATGCCCTCAGGACATACAACTTAGGTTTTTTTTGTTGTTTTTTTGTTTTTTGTTTTAGTTCTGAAGCATGTTTAGATTTTTCTGTACTTGTATAGGCCTGATTGTTTATGTGGCTTAGCTAAGGTTTCCTAAAGCATCTTCTAGTAGCTGTCATTGGTTTATAAAATAAAATTTGGGCTGTTGAAAATGCATATTTTTTTGGTTGTTAATCTTAATTATTTTTGACATTTGTGATAAGTCTTTTTGGGGAGAATTAGGCAGGCAAACTTAGAAAAGATAATAGGTAATGTACATTGTGATTTTATTTAAGCTGTCAAATTGTAAGCCCCAAGTCATACACTCAATAATGGAAAAAAAGATTTTTCCAGAAGTCACTGGGAAAATTGGCCAAGTTGATGCTTAGTATATCTTTTTCCTGGAGAATACAGATTGAAAAAAGAAATATTTGTTTGAAGTGCCTGTTCCACTTCTGATGTGTTTTATGATCCTTTGGCATTTGTCATTAGGTATTAAACATTGCCATGGGACTCCTACATTCACAAGAAGAGCATTGGGGTGGGCTTTGTTGAACTTTTGTCATTTGAAATGACAGGATCCTGAATTTAATTACTGCAGTAGCCCAGTTTATTGCTGAATGACCATATTTTGCCATATAATGACCTAAGTGCCTTTTGCATTATGAAACAAGATTATTGTTAAAGGATGTGGCATTTTTTAGTAGTATGTTATGGGCTGTGAGATTAGGAAAAAGAAACCACAATTCTCCCCTCAAGAAGTTCAGTCTTAGTGTAGAACTTGGGGAGGAAAAAAAAAAAAAAAGTCAAAGTCAACAATGGGGATAATTGAGTTTTAAACTTGATGGCAGTGATTTCAGTGAAGAGAGCCACCTGGGTTTATTTCCAGGCATTGGAGAGGTGAATAAACTTCAGCAGCTTAGATGTGAATTTTGAAACGAGGGGTAGGACTTTGGAGTATTATTTTATTTTCAGATTTCAATGAATGTTCTGTGCCAGGCACCATGTTAAAGTCTTTAGATAGAGATGGTTGATTGTATCATGCTATAGAAAAATAGCCCAAGGTGTTTTAAAAAATTTTTTAACAATGAGCTTGTGCAGGTTGGGCAAGAAGGAGGTGCAGTTCCTTTTTGACAGTGTTGAGTTTGAGGTGTCCAGTAAGCAGTTAGGAATCTGGATGGGTCCTTGGGCTCAGGAGAAATGTCTACTTCTATGGTCCAGTTCTGGAAAACACTGAAACCTTGTGGGTAAGCTTAAGCCGTCAAGGGCATCACTGGGTGATACCAGCCTGTCAGGGGCAGAAGAGAACCCCTCAAAGGGGATTGAGGAAAGAGCTGGCAGGCTGGAGAACAGAAAGGGGTGGGTAGTTTCCATTTCAAGCAGGGGGTAAGAGGAGCCAGGAAGAAACTACAAAGGACAGGTAGGAGAGCCAGGAAGGGAACCTCGGTGGGGAGCTGGTGGGCTCACGGAGTGAATGTTGAAAGAGGTGTGCTGGCCTGACTTTTAAAGAGCTGCATACCATTTGATGTTGGTAGTGGATACAAATCATCCAGTTTTGGGATGGGGTGGAGAGGGCAGGAAGGGAGAGAACTGGTCAAAGACAGGCCCAAGAGGCAGGCAGGCCGACCCTGGACCCCGAGGCCACTTCTTGCCAAAATACTCAAGACTTACTGGAAGCAGTCTCACATTGAATGGGAACACAGGCTGCATTTTGAGTGAGAGTCCCCTGCTCTTGTTTACTACCTGTTGACCTTGGATGGATTACTTAACCTTTTAAACTTGGTTTTTCACCTGCAGGATAGTTATTATAGGTATCACAGGGTTACTTCAAAAATTAAAAAGTATTTAATATTAGTGACTGATGCAGGAAGTGCTTTCCTTTTTTTTTTTAATAGGTGCAAGCCTTTGAAAGGTTTAGAGGCAAAACAGGGCCACAATTGGATTTCCTCTGACCACCAACGGGAAGGGAGAATGCATCTTCTGCAAGGAGAGCAGAAAGAGAAGAGGGAGGCACGGGAGGGGTGGAAGGGGGGTATGGGGGACTGGGAGTTGGGCCGATGGGAGGAGGTGTGGGCCAGAGAATATGGTCAGCGAATGGGAGTGTGATGGGGACATGGGTGTGAGAACATTCACATTTGTGCAGTGAGAACTATGTCAAGGGAAGTTTAGAAAGAACAGGCCCCTATCGAACCTCTAAGCTTACTTTAAAATCGAAGTCCTGTTCTTCAGAAACTAATTGGTTCTACTAGATCGTGTAAGATGTTTAGTCAAGCAGTAACAAAATCCCTTGGTGAGGCTGGGATAACGGGAGGGGGATATACATAAGGCAGAAAGTGCACTATGGGTGATGGCAAACTTTTAAGGCTTCGATGCTGTGGTTGTTTCCTGGCCTGACTCATACCTTCTACAGGTATATCCTCAACATACGGGACTGGAACGTAAGTTTGGCTCCTTAACTGCAAGTTTAAGGAATAAGTGTCCAGTGATGAGTGCTGGGTATATTCTGGATTCACTAACTCTTGACCTTGAAAGCAAAGCAGCAGGTTTCTTCATACCCTCTGCCCTGAAGGATTAGAACACAACATTGATTCAGGTGGTTGTAAGAGTTTCTACCAAATACTAGCCCAGCCCTTGGTGCTCATATAAACTGATTGGTCCAGGGCAGACCCCCTTTGTACTTGAAGTCCTAGCATAATTTAACAGTGGCCCTTTTTGGGGGCTCATCAGTGTACTGTTTCGGATGATAAATTATGTGGTCACTTTATCTAGAGGGGTTTATTGGGGTGATCCCATCCAGGCCTATAAATGAGTTCTTGCTCCCCTGACTATACCATACACATACACACTCAGAGGGATCTATTGAAATGGTGATTCTGATAACCAGAATGCCTTCCTGTTTAAAGCAATCCCTCTTGTCCTCGTCTGCAAATTGTATCCAGTACCTATCAAATAAATGGGAAAATTTCATGATCTTTTTGTACACCCAGCACAATGGTTGACACATAGTAAGCTTTCAGTTATTGGTAGTTTTATCAATAACATATGTCAAAGTCAGATGGTTTGTTTTTCCAGAATAAAACCTAATTGCTTACTAGTGACCCCTTGCAAAGAAAAGAGGTAGGCGTCCTTGGACACTGTGACAACATGGAAAGTAAGGTGGGTTGCTTTCAAAAGGGTGAACTGATTGAGCAACTCTAAAACCTTTTTTCTTCTTCCTAGGTCTTAGTGGTGCAATGGCTAGTATAAGCGTGCGCTCGAGCACCCCAGGCTCTCCTACCCATGTAAGCAGTGGATCGAATGCTAGTCGAAGGAGAAATGGACTCCATGATGTCGATTTGAACACTTTCATATCAGAAGAAATGGCACTCCACTTGGACAATGGTGGAACTAGAAAGCGTACCTCAGCCCAGTGTGGCGATGTCATTACAGACTCACCAACCCATAAACGCAACAGAATGATCTAAACTGCAGACATTTTCACACCCACCATGCTGCTTGAAAGCCACTTGATCCTCAACATATACTATTATTGCAAAGGAAACATGAGGCCATCTTCCCTGTTCACTGTTTAAGACAAGTGAATTCTATAGTGGTTGCCATAAAAGGAAGTTCTAGGTATTTACAGTAGATGCCTCTTGTAACTATGGCTTTCTTAAAACTATAATCCTAGCAGAGGACATCAGATATCGTGTAGTCGTTAGCAAGATCATCATAGGTAAACATATATCCGTTCCAAGGCTAAAAGTGACCTTAACTGTATTTATTCTCAAAGGGAAAGGAAATATCAGATGTTTATTTGGTTATAGAATGCTTTCTTTCTTTTTTTTTTTTTTTTTTTGGTCCATTTTCTGCTGTGTTGCTTCTACAGTATTGCCAGTTTCCTAAAATTGTCTACAAACACGATTTGGCTTCCATTTTTGCAGCAGCACTGTACCATGCACCTGGTTTCTATATAGTAGCAGTGTGCCACTTCGAGTTATTGGACTGTGCCCTGTTTTTAGTTTTCAAAGCAGTTTCTAATTCTGGTGATTGTGTGATGTAAAGAGGTGCTATGATGGTCATGCAATTAATACTTAATAGTCAATACACAGAACTCTATTGGATTCACTTTCTGTGTGTTAGTGCTCTAAAAGTAGCAATATTATTACACTGCCCCCAGATTAACTCTGTAGGCTTAAAATATTCAAAAAAAGAAAAGAAAGCTAGAAATCAGAAGGAAAGGACATTAGACTTAAACAAAAAGCCTCAGAGTGTGCTTCATTGATTATATTAGTTTAGTGACTTAATTCTATTCGTACTGTATTGTTCCTTTCTTTTCCCCCCT